CAACCAACGCGCTTGTCATTGTGGTGTATATGCTGTAAAACACATCGAAAGTCATGCGCTTGGGTTGGATTTATCACTGATGGATGATGATAACACCAAGACAGCTCGAATAAGGATTGTTTGGGATCTCTTTGAAGCAGGTAATGATCCAGAGATGTTAGAGAGGATGTCCAAGTATGAGCCTCCCACATATAAGAGTAACGAATGTATCGACATTTCATGATCAAGTGTTTGGAGTTTTTTAAGATGTTTAAGCTATTGTATAACACATGGTTTTTTCGTGATTGTTAGAAAAATATTTCTTTACTTGCGACAAGAGTGAGATTATCTTAGATCCTTTAATTTACCACAAATGAAAAGTTATACCCTAAACCACAAATGAAAACATATACCCTAAACCACAAATGAAAACTTATACTCTAAACCACAATAGGCTAAACATATATACTAAATGAAAATGAAAACTTATACCCAAAACCACAAATGAAAACTTATCTTCTAAACCACAAATGAAAACTTATATCCTAAACCACAAATGAAAATTTATACTCTAAATGAGATTCACTTGCGACAAGATTGAGTTTATTGTAGATCGTATATCACAAGTAAACCAATACCCTAAACCACAACTAAAACGAATGAGAACCGTTTTGAACATAAAACCCTACATATTTAAGTTTCAAAAAACGGAATGAGAACCGTCTCCTTGTGTCTCCTCTTTCTCTCCAAACTGTTTCTCTCAAACATGAATACACAGAGGAAATTTTGGGTAGGAGTACCAAATCGATGTTGGTGTGGACATAGGTTTGTGATCTTCTACTCAAAAACAAATGAGAACCTATACAACAGATTCTACAGATGCGAGATTGGGTTACAGGTTTCAATTCTTAATTTTTTTGTTCTATACTTGATTCGATTTTGTTTTCACTATTCTCATCATAGTGGTTCTACACTTGATTTCATGTAGCAAAAGACAGAACATCATTTATTTAAGTGGTGTGAAGAAGCTTTACTTGATGAGATTCAAAGAATAGATCTTCAGCAAAGGAAAAACGCAGAGGAGATTGAAGATCTGAAAAATAGTTTGAAGAAGATGGTAGATGAAGAAGTTCTGAAGCAGACAAAACCCGACGAAGTGGATTGTTTAGGATCTATTATTTGGTTATTTCGAAAAATATGTTGCCAAGAATGACTGAATGTTGATGTAACCAAGGTTTTCTTATGAATGAAATCATTTTTCCTTCTCAAAAGCATTGAGTTTACAGTCAAATTCTAGTCGATATATCATATGAAATATAAGACTTTAACAAAGTTTACTTTGAACCTAAAACCGATGATCTACTAGAAATTTTTCTTGTATTCTGAAAAAACATGAAACAAACTTGTGACAAACTGAAACAATGTTGGCACAACAAACACAACAAACTAGAAATTAACCCAAATAAAGTCTGAAAATCTGAACCAAAGTTGCGAAAACACAACAAACAAATTGACTATATTGGCATCTTGTAAGTTGCTCTGTTGTGGCCACCAAAACCATACCTACTGCACCTGTGAAGCTTACCTCCCTGTGATCCTTATGATGATCGAATTTTGTCTTCTACAGTTTCATATCTTTTTTTTGTTTCTTCCAAGAGACCTTCTTGTCACAGGTGGTAGCACTTCAGAATTGTCCACATCTTCAAGGACACACCAAGCATCTTCAGGAACAGCAATGAGATGCTTTCTTGATAAGCTTCTCTCCAAGCTTGTGTGGTGTACATAAAATCAGTCAACATGCGTGGTTCCTTGCCAACATAGAAACTGGCTTTTATCGCGTGTCTACAAGGAATTTTCAAGAGGTTGTACTTCCCACAGGAACACATCCGAGTATCCAAATCAACAAAGCAGTCAATTTTATCACCCTTAACAAGGAACTGATAGTCGTTTATAAGGTAAACTACAAAAATTTTACCTTTCACGATTCTCCTATCAATCTTTTCCTCCACATTTATGGTCAAAGGATGCGTATGCTTTAAAATCTTTTTCTTACGCTTCAAGAACCACTGTGTCAACACTTCTCTTATGCTGTCCAACAAAGGAATTACCAGAAACTCTTTTGGAGTGCGCGAGGCAGAATTTATAGATTCAGCAGGATTGGTTGTCCTAATGTCATACATGTATCCAACAAATTGACATCTACACCACTTTCGAACATCCGCTCGCATTATATAAGTTCCTATTAATGGACTGATATTGCAAATATGAGCAAATACCTTCTTGAAATCAGCCACTCTGTAAACCTTCGAAGCCTTAGCAACCAACCCAGCTAACCCCCTCCCCCTGAAATTTGAAATCACATTGTTCAATAAGTGATGAATACAAATCTCATGTGTAGCTAGCGGATAGACGTTCTCAATTGCCTTTGCTATAGACATTTGTCTGTCTGAAATAAAAACCAACTCCATATCATCAGCAACAACTTCTTTCAATTTTCTCATAACCATTCCCAAGCATGATCATTCTCAGAGTCTACTACCTTAAAAGCAATAGTCCTTTGAATTTATTCTTCAAGAATGTTCCATCAACAACAATAACACGCCTCATGAATTTGTTAAAGCCTCTAATAGATTGGCCAAATGCTAAAAAAATATAGCGAAATCTACCATTGATGTCAGTCTCATAAGAGGAATGTGTACCCGGATTAGACTCTCTCATCATGTGTAAATACTTCGGTACTCTTCCATAGCTTAGCTCTGGAATACCTCTGATGGCGCTAACTGCAAATTCATGGGAATCCCAAGCTAAGGATTCAGAGATCTCACATCCATAATCATCATGCATAATCTGAACAATATCTTTTGCTTTAAGGCCTTCTTTGACTCCTTTATATTTATGCATGATCAGACCACCTATCGTTTTCGCCAAAGCTGTCTTACCGGCTTTACTTTTGCTTGAAGGTGCGCAAGAATGTGTCCCAACATACTTCTTAATAATAAAAATGTAGAGCGGTTCATACAAGCAGCTTGAACACCTCAATTGCAAACCTTATCAGCGCATCTATTACACCAACCTGATTTGTTCGATTTGGTAACTTTGTAGTCGAAGTTAAGCTTCATTGCACATAGCTCAAACCTCGCCTTCAATACTGCTTTGTTCAGAAAAAGATCTCCTTTCTTTACTAACTCAAGCGCAGAAGTCTTTGATAAATGTTCTCTATTTTCTATTTCAGACAAGATGGTGTCAGCAGCATCAACATTGTATGACATCATATTTCCTTTTTTCTTCACATGATACTTGTCAGCATCATAATCATCTCCATCAGTCTCGCAATGCTCCATCTTTTCTTTTTCTTGTCGTTATGCTTAGTCCCTTTAACATTACTGGAACCGCCCCCATTAGCACAAAGATTTCCTTCTGCCTATTTACCAGTACATGAATCAGTTGGTATCTTATTAAGATCAGTGTCGACCTTATCTGGATTCCATTGCTTCGGTTTATAGGTAACACACAACCGAGTTGACTGATGCTTCTTACAAAACCCTAGAAAATTTTGTACTTGGCGTGAGTTTCCAATGATCACGGGTGGACATTCTGATGTGTTGATCAATCCAATAGGTATGTAACTTAACTCCAAATGAGCATCCGTTTCTTCCAAACCAAAAATCCTCTATAACAACTTTCTGTAACTCTTCCAGAGAGGACTTCAAATCCAAAGCAAGTAACCTTCCCCCCTTTGTTTTCATCATCAAAAACTTCCAACTTGAAGATACAACTGATTCCCAAACACCACATGAAGCATCGTTGAAACACTGTAAAACTTTGTCAAATTATTGTCAAGAATGGAGAAGAGGCGTGACAAGAACCATGATAATAGCTTTTACACGATTTTCCTTTTTTTGAAAACAGTTTTTCCTTTTTTTGTTTTTTTTTAATTCGAATTTTGAAATATGAAAACTGAATATTTCCAAATATTACTTTCCTATATTTTCGGATCTGGTTATACTTATCCGTAAATAACATATTCTACTAAAGGTAGAACTGAGTAAGGAAGTTTGAAATCAGTTTCTACATGTATTAGAACGATAGTAAGAAAGTAGATTATGATTTCTACATATATTAGAATTGTTAAAATATTTAGATTCAGGTTTCTACCTATATTAGAAGTATATGTTAAACGCGGAATGTGTATTCCAAAATATTTTAGATTTAGTTTTGTAGAACACGTATTCTGAAAATGGTAGAAATAATGAAAAAAAGTAGATTTTTTATTCTACTCAGTAGTACACGGATTCTAATATCTGTAGAACGAAATATGAAAAATATAATTTACACATTTTTAAAAGTATAAAAAACTATCACTTTATTAACATAGATATTTCATCATCAGGTACTAATTTTAAAATTTATTTGGTTCATAAATCTATTTATTTTATTAAATTCCAAAAATAATAAAAGGCATTAGAGTCAAAAATGGCACAAACTATAATCTATACTATATTAAAAGTTCTTAATAAAGTTCTCAGAAGCTATCCACGTAGACAGTTTTAATCAACCAATTAAAGAATCTAAAGTTGCCATATCACCTTAAAATTGCCATATCACCTTTGCTTGAGACAAAAAGAAATTCAGAAGTTTAACCGATTCCATAGAATCTTAATCCCAGAGATTGAGTCGTGATCGATTCAGTTTCACGATTTCATAAAATCTTAATCTTGGCCTTTTTCTCTCTCTATCTCAATCACACACGAAAGCTCTCTATCACTAATGGCTGACAAGAAGGTCCAATCCCCCGTTGAAGATAACAACCGAATACCAACATCCCCACACCGCTGCCACCATCTCACTGGATGGGGATGAGATACCCTTCGCCTATGGTGATGCCTCACCATATGCGTCGCCTCCTTACTCACCTTATCACCATCCTTATCATTATCACCTTCATCACCGCCATCACCAATCTCATGATCTGAAGGTTGAGAGAGATCAAGCGAGTGAGAGTGGTGTGGAAGCAAAACCATGATCTTGCGTCTTTTCAGATTTTCCGACAACATCACAACAAAAAAGATCTCTTTTTTCCGTGTCTCTGTCCCTCTCTCTGCAGACTTTTAAATGGAGCGGTATGGTCGCACCGGTGAGGAAGGGTCGATTATCGGATCCATCGATTGAATGGACCTATCATGGAGGCGAAACCGGAGTCGACGGTAACATAAATGCAGCGCCTTTCAAAGGATTAAAGGATTCTGTTTTTTCTTTTAAGTGAGTGTTGTTGTTGTAGCTTCGATGTGTAGGGTTAAGCGGAGCAACTTAAGAAAGTGAGAAACAGTAAGAAAGTTGTTGGTTTAATCACCCACGAGATCGTGGAGCAACGTAAGAAAGTTTCCTAATTTTGTGGTTATGCTTCTTCGTTTTCAGATCAGTAAGCTCTTGGATTTGGGGATTAGGTTATTGGAGGTGTGAGAGAGGAGGAGATGGAGCTTTACCGGAGAGATGGACAACCGGTTTGTCAGGTTTTGTAATAACTCAATTTCTATAACCTGACCTGAGCAATGCAGTTTTAAAAGAAAGATATTGTTTTTTCTTATTTGCTCAGCATTTTATGCGAACGGGAACGCGTAAGTACGGTGGTTCTTGCAAGTATCATCATCCCAGACAAGGAAGTGTCTCCGTTGCGCCTGTCTCTCTAAGTTACTTGGGATATCCGTTACGTCTGGTTTGTGTTCTATATAACCTCTCTGTTGTTTTATGTTTATTTTTATTCCCACACATTTTTATTTGTTATGATCTCTTAAAAGCTCCTGTGAAACTAATTACAGGGAGAGAAAGAGTGTTCTTACTACATGAGAACCGGCCAGTGTAAATTCGGTTTAATCTGTAAATTCAATCATCATGTGCCTCAGCAGCACAAGGTCTCTCCTTCACTCTCTCTTTACTTATTTATGTCTTTTCTTATTTACAAAGTATTTGTCTCTAATGTGTTTTGACATTCGCAATAAGTATTCGTAGCTTCTGTTTGAATAAAGTTTGAGACTTTGGAAATTGTTTTTTTTTTTTTTTTTTCTGATGTAATGCATGATTGTACTGAAAGTGTCTATCTTTGGATAAATGCTCTGTCTTTATGTCTGCTTAGCCTTTGTTTAAGTTTTAATCGAAGCTGGACGATAAGTTTAGGTTTGTTGGATCTTTATCTGGATGGACAGCGACACTTAAGTTCATGTGGATGCCAGTTTCCCAAATGGTAAGAGTCTCGCTTTGTTTCATTCTCGCTTTCTTTGAATTTTTTGTCCTAAATACTATATTTGATGTTAACTCAATCTTTAGTGGACAAACTTCCTAAACCCAGACAACATAAAAGGCTTATCGCCAACCACAATGGTACTTGCGATGATGGGAAACGGTCTTATGATCCCAGGGGCACTATTTATCCACGATTTGATGTGATAAAAGCTAAGCTTTCTCAACTAAAAGCCTTTAAGCTTAAACTATAGTTCTTTCACACATAGTAACATTGTTCATTAAACTGTAATACAGGTTCATCGGTTCAATATGGGTAACTCTCTTTTATGGATATGGGAACATTCTGTGCTTATACATGTAAGAATCCTTTCACACCTCTCTTGAGTACATGAGTTTATGAATAACCCGTGGATTCTCCACCACAGGTTAAACTGCACCAGCAAATCATTCTTTGTTGCGGCCACAATTGGTTTGATCTCATGGATAGGTTCATAACACTCTTACATCATCATCCTTTGTTACCCAAATGTGAAATATTTATTAAAACATTTGTCTGAAAATACTTTGATTATCATATTTGGATATATTTAAATAAATAACGCTCTCTTACATCATCATATTTGGATATATTTAAATAAATAATTTTAAATATATTATATTTTTGATCATTCAAAATACTTAAAAGATTCTAAATTATTAAAAAATTAATATACAAATAAAACTAAAGCAATATTTTGTAACGTCAAAATAATAAATAAATAATATATTATGTTAATAAAATAGATTTTAGATTTTAAAGACTTCTAATTCATGTATTACAAAATTCAAAATTTGTTTATTACAATTAATATTTTACCATTTGGTATATTAAAATAATATTCTAGATCGATATTCAATTGTCAGTTTTCAACTATTACACGTAACAAAATATTATTAAGTAAGTTTTTTTTAAAAGGGGATTTATATATGAAGTAGGTTATTGGAGTTTTTTTCTGTTAGGGAATTTATTCGAGATGAGATTCGATCTTTTAAACTAACATAATTTATGTTTTATACATAATTATATTTATTTTACATAACTCTATAGTCTCGAACTTGATTCTTCATATTTATTAATTAATTATGTTACATATAATACAAACATATTTGACAATAGTATAAATTTCATGGTATATTGAAGATAATTATATAACTAAATAATCTATTACCACTAATGAATTATATTCAAATACTTACTTTAATATAAAAATATAAAAATCAAATTTTAAAATTAGTTAAATATAATTTAATATATAAAAATTTACATATAAATAAAAATGAGAAATGTAATAAATTTAAATATATTATCCGTGCGTAGCACGGAGAAAGGATCTAGTTTAGCCTAAAGGAACAATATCCTAATGGATTTAGTCTAAAAAAACAATATCCCCAAGATTAAATACCAACGTCACAGCTATTGTGAATGCCATTTTTTATCTGAATTAATTCAACATTTATTCAGATATCCAGCGTTAAAAGAAAATTAAACATTTATTTAAAACAAATCACTTGAAAATTAATTAAATCAGGTTAAAAGGCAACGTGACTTTCTATTCTTTTTGTTATGCTTTCTACATGTGTAGTCCACCATATCTGAATCCTTATGCAACCTTTTTGTGATGCTTCGCACCATTAAGTTTCATTACTTAGGTCTCATCAATAGACTTAATAATTAGCACAATACCATGTTGTTCTTCTAAATCTGAATCAAACCCTTAATGCATATAATGACATCTAGTACATATACAAGCATATTTGCTGAAAGAAATTAAGATCTATCTAAAGTGAATCGGTTTCACGATGGCGTATAACAAAGTTTGTGTATCTGCTGTTAAATAGTCATGGACCGATTTTAAATAAAAAAATAAAAACACTCATGAATATCTATTAAGAACTGCATTTTAAAGAAACGTTGATTAATTTTTTTTTTTTTAAAAGTGTATGATGTGATTACCTTAATACAGACAGATTAGCCACAGGTTCTGATCCGCCTCCACTAATTATATTGAAGATTTGCATATATTTTAAAAGTACAAAATGTCGTCCCCTAATATGCCCTACCTTCTTCAGTTTAGCAAGAGCTATATAATTTAATATATCTACTTGTTGGATCAACCTTTTACTGTGATATTAGATTTAAGTATATCAACAAATTTATAATATAGCTAATGGTCTCTCTACTTTCATTTATTTTATTAAGGGGTCACATCATTATCTTCGTGTTTTCTTTAGTTTCACGTTCCTTTAAAGCATCTCCAAGCTCATTCCAAAAATCACTCTAAATTTCATTTTACAGTAAAATCATCTCCAATCCTACTCCAAAACCCACTTCAAGTAAAATCATCTCCAATCCTACTCCAAAACCCACTTCAAAATGAAGTAACAAATATATTACTCCAAATATGGAGTAAACTAATTCATTACTCTAAAATAGAGTTGAACTTTTTTATTTATCAAATAGTCTTCTACGTTTATATATGTTTCACTTTTAATAAAATATTATTATAAATAAGTATATTAATATTATTTTACTATATATATTATAAGATTTACTGTTAACATTTCTTAATTATATAAACAGCCTCATTTTTAATATTATTATGAATAAGTATATTAAAATTATTTTACTATATATATTATAAAATTTACTGTTAGCATTTCTTAATATTATATAAACAGCCTCGGTTTAATAAAATATTATTATAAATAAGTAGATTAATATTATTTTACTATATATATTATAAAATTTACTGTTAATATTTTTTAATTATATAAATAGACTCATTTTTAATAAAATATTATTATAAATAAGTATATTAATATTATTTACTATATATATTATAAAATTTATGGTTAATATTTCTTAATTATATAAATAACCATCCGATGAACTCTTTTATGCAACAAAATATATATAATATAAAACATAAAATATCATACATATAGAAAATAAAAGATAAACACCATACAAAAGATATAACATAAAATAAAACTTACAACAAAGATAATTGCTTAATAATCCGATAAATCATTTTCGGATCCATTAAAACTACTAAATAATCCGATAAAATATTATTAAATTCTTACATAACCTGATAATAAAAGGATGATTGTGATCTCGAGACGCCAATTGAAGTTGAAAGAGAAGTTATGTCTAGGGAAGTTGAAACTGAAGGAAATAAGTAGATTAATCTTATTTTACTATTTATATTATAAATTTTACTGTCATTATTTTTTAATTATATAAATAGCCTCGTTTTTAATAAAATATTATTATAAAATATTATTATAAATAAGTATATTAATATTATTTTACTATATATATTATAAAATTTACTGTTAATATTTCTTAGTTATATAAATAACCATCTGATGAACTCTTTTATGCAACAAAATATACATAATATAAAACATAAAAGATCATACATATAGAAAATAAAAGATAAACACCATACAAAAGATATAACATAAAATAAAACTTACAACAAATATAATTGCTTAATAATCCGATAAAATATTATTAAATTCTTACATAACATGATAATAAAGGATGATTGTGATCTCGAGGCGCCAATTGAATTTGAAAGAGAAGTTCTATTTAGGAAAGTTGAAATTGAAGGAAATAATCATGTAAGGTTCCGAGAGTTTCTTTCCCGTTTCAGAAAAATCAAAGATAAAGAAATTCATTATTTACGTCGAAATGTATTAGTTGATCATTTGTGGGAAAACTATTCTAATTCTAATGAATAATTTAGTGGGTGTTATTGGTATATATGTTTTAATGGATTTATAAATGTAAACAAAATTCAGTGTTATTGGTTCCATGATTTTAAAATCCAAATTAAAATCACGTGTTATTGGTTCCATGATTTATAAATTCTAATTCAAATAAGGTGTTATTCAATCATACGGATTCATTAATGGATTTAATTTTATAATGAATTTGGATGAATTTGTGTGGATTTCTTTGTTAAAAATACAAAGACTAAAATCCGAAGGAAAACCCTCGGATTTGTAAGTACTTAATTAAAATTCACCTAGATTTGGAAATCAGTATATTTTGCTAAGATTTATAAATTCTATACAGATTTCTAAATCAGTCAAAATACATTAACCAATAACACCCTCTTAGAATTGATGTATTATTGTGTTTAAGCTATATAATGTAATTTTTAATGTATTAAATGTTCTTTTAAAACCTAGTTGAGTAATTTTATTTATATAATAAAATTTTAATTGTGGTTAATATTGTATTTAATAAAAATGCTATAAATTGAAAATGGTCTGTTTTGAAAATAGTATAAATGAAAGGTGATATTACTAATTTTGAAATAAACATAAAACATAATATATTAAAATATATTTTTGGAGTAGAAAATGGAATAATACATTGGAGTAAAACTCAATTGCGTTTTGTTGTTACTCTATTTTAGAGTATAAAATAAAGTAATGCATTGGAGATGCTCTAATGTAAGCATACCATTAACTCATAAAAGTTTTTTTTGTCTGATTTAAAAAAAAAAAAAACAATCGCAGCTACGTGATGAGACTCGCTCCACTTCTTAAGAACCCACTTCTTTTAATGCCTTTTCAGAAAACCTAAATTCTTTTTTATGTCATATGCCAAATAAATTTAACTTTATATACAGTTTTTTGGGTTATTTCATACTCATATGATCTAACGAAATTAGTGTTATATTTGTGTATGTACATGTGAATGATAATATATACTTAAACTTAGTATCTTAAGTTCGAACTCTTGAGTTAGCCATTTCAGCCTTTTTTTTACATTGAGCTTGTGGTCTCTTAAAAGTCAAGGCCGCTACTGTACAAAATGTAAAAGGTTTACATGTATGATATAAATTATTCTCTAGTTCATATGATAAAGATGACTTTAAAAAGCCACGAACCATCTAGATTAAATTGACTTTCACCTCAAATTAGACGGGTCAGAAAAAAATATTTTTACACAAAAATTCATGAAATCCTGACTTTTAAGAACCGAGTTGACCTTATCTGACATACGTTAAACTGATCGACACCTAGAAGTAGTTGTTGCCGATAAGGATGGATCAATTTGATTAGCACTGAATACAACTTCGATATTTCTTCCACTTTATCGTATTTTCCCTCTCTTTTATATAATACTAGATGATATCCCATGTCATGCCCGGAGTGAGCTTTTTAAAACATCTTATATTTAAATATATATTTTGCTATCAATAATTTTTTTTACATCTGATTATAGATATGCATTTGTATACCATTTGGTTTGGTTAGATTATGTTGGTTTAGATCTTTGCGGTTTGGTTTGAATCTTTGCAGGTTCGGATTGGGTTTATGTTCGGATAACCCATTTAATTTTTTTTTAAAAGATTAAAATTCATATATACTTTAAATTTTTCAAAATCTAAAAGTAAAAATAATATATAACATATAAATTTGAAAATGAATGTCAAAATACTTAAACTTAACATAAAATTGGTTTATTTTAAATATTTGGACAAAAAAATCAATAAATATTTCAAATATTTTGGTATTTGGAGTATCGTTTAGCTATTTTAAAATTGTACATTTAACTATTTTATATATTTCTAAGTATT